GCTGGCAGAATTCTGAGACTGCTGTGTGTGTGTGTGTGTGTGTGTGTGTGTGTGTGTGTGTGGTTACTTATATTTTCTTCAAATAGGAGAGGCTTAAACTTGTTTTTAAGTCAGCATGAAGGGTTTAGCTAAAAGAGATCAAAGCAAGAAAAAGAATGTTTGATAGCATGAGAGTCTTTCTCAGACAGTAGGAAGGATGAATAAGGGTGCTTTGAACATTGTTTACAAGTCTTTTGGGTCTTGGGTAAATAAATACCTAGAACTGGACCTTGTTTCTTATTTAACTTTTCCCTTGATTTTAGTCATTCTAACTGCAGTAGCTTGTACCTCATTGTGCTTTAATTTGCATTTGTGCCCCCCTTATGATCATTACTTGGGGGAGAATTTTTATTATTGAGATGCAAGACTTTTAAATATATCTACAAAGTCTTTGTTAGATTTATATAGCACAAATATTTATTTCATTCTCAGTTTTGCTTGCAATTAATATTGATGTTTGAAGAACAAGTTTTTAATTTTAATGAAGACCAGTTTATCCCATTATTAAGGTTTATATTATGACAATTTTTTTATTAGCAGTGAGATAGAGTGTTCTTGTTTATATAAAATTGGTGGCTAATTTATATGTGTGGACATAAGAGGACAATTTGTGGGAGTTGTTTTTTTCTCTCTACCACGTCCTGGGGTCCTGTGGATTGAACTCAGGTTATTCGGCTTGGCAGCAAGTGCCATTCATTACTTAGTAAGGCATTTTGTTGGTCTCAATTTTTATTAAATATTTATTTATTTATTTATTAAATATTAGTTCCTTGATTCCATGTATTTTGTGAATTGCAGTCATACCTGAAAGGGTCTAGTAATGTGAGATGACTTGTGTTTGTTTTTAATTAACTATAACTTTTAGAGAGCCGTATTATTTTCTGATGATGCATAAGCCTCTAACTGTGTACATTTTTGGAGGAGTACATTATTCAGAAAAGTCTTGCATAACCACAGTGAAAATAAGCTGTGCGCAGCAGCGATGCACTGTAGAGTTCCATGCAGCAGCTGTCACAGTTGGCAGAGTCATCCTAGAGAAGCGCTGTATTAAATTGGTCCAGTGGACACAATCAATTCAGAAAAAGGAGCTGTGTGCATGACAGGCATGGTTGGCATAGTTAGGCAGCTGGTATGATTATGTACCTCAATTATAGGGCATGGTGGATAAAAGTGTTTATGAAAAGATGAGAAGTGCAGAGTGTGAACAGATGGCTAAGAATACTTGACTTTCGAATAATACCTTGCCGTATTACTAGTAATTTTTAAAAGAACTGGGGATTTTTGTATAACTTGAGAAATACACTGAATACAAATGGAAAATACTTAATCTGATTTAGAAGAAAGATAACATTAATTGCTTTTAGAAATTACTAATGAATTTTATTATAAATGTTATATAAGCATGCAAGCAGCCTTTGCATCTCATAACTTTCATACTGTGTACTATAAAATACAACACATTAAAGTACTTTTCTCTCTCTCAGAACACACACACATGCACAAATTCATATATGCACACGTACAAATACAGCCTGTATAAGCCGTGACATTTCGTGTACTTTTTACTGGTTCTTTTTATTATGCTTTGAGGCTACTAAAGGTTCTTGCTCAGTATGTATGTCCTAAACCAACTTAAAGGCAGCTCTTGCTTTTCAGACTTATTGAACCAAAAGCAGATAGGATATATTCTATAATTTATGGGAAAAATTAAAAATTTACCATTTCCATTTTTTAAAGGTTTAGTCTGAATCTCTGAGATAAAATTAGACCATATGTCTCGTCAGTGTTGTTACATCTGTTTTAAAGGGATCAGTATTTCTACCGTAGATTGAAGGCAGTGAAGGGATGCTTATTCTTAAGTTCAGGTACAGATCCAAATATATTTCAGAAATTCTAAGTGGTCAAGAATGAGTGTGTATTAAGTGTTTGAGATGAATAGTTTGAAGATTGAAAGGGATCTATTTAAGTTTTCATTAGCACTGTAGGGAAGTCGTGGATCTTGGAGAAGAACCTACAACCATCACCTTACTAAACCAACACAATTTCTATATACATTCTAAATATTGTCCTTAAACTTACAGATGAGTGTAGTTTTTACCCCTCATTAAGGAAACTTCTCTTTACAACAGATAGAGACCATTATAAGAAATCACAACCCATCAAAATGCAGAGTTGTGGAGCCCAGTCTCAACTGATCTGCCTGTAATATAACTCTTACACCTCAGATTCAGGGATCATTGCAGAAATTGGAGTGGAAAGATAGTAGGAGCCAGAGAAACAGGTGAAGGACAACATCAATGGACATCCCCAAGTGGACTCGGCATGTGTTGCATGTGTGTGGGGGAGGTAGTATCACAAGTCCTCAAACCTAAGGGATGCTGAGAGTGGGGTACCAGGAGAGAGTCTTCCCCAGGGAAGAGCGCACCAATTGGCTATCCAGTGCCAAATGGTCGGCCCTGAGAACACACACACACACGAGTAACTTTATATAAGTAAGTTGTATTTATAGATTTAGGAATATACACAAGGAAGGTACAGTACACATGGGAGGGTTTAGAGGAAGGAAAGCAAAGGGGAAAGTGATAGAATTATATTATTAT